AGATTTGAATCCTTTAAACAAAAAAAAATAAATTAATTTCCTATGCACAAAACCTGCTACATCCTCGTGAGTGCATATATGTTTTTTTTTTTTTTTCCTTTTTCACCAAAATAAATTCAATGAAATCCTTCCCCTCTAGGTATATCCTCTTCCGCGGATGTCTTGGTTGTCCTCCAAGAATCAATTGTTATTGCTATACAAAGAAAACCCACTTTTTAAACGCAAACACAAACACCCCAATGATGCAGCCTTCAACTATGACTCAAGAACCCACAAATCCTTTTGGCTTTGTTTCCAAATTGGGCTCTTATCTAGTTAATTATTCTAAGCTTAATCGTGATGGGCACTCATGAGAGTGTGAGATTAAACGGGTGTTTATAATTCAGAATGGATGGATTTGAATTAATTGGGGTGAAGCAAAATTGCATTTGAATGTGAGGGCAGAGCTTGGTCCAGAGCTCCAGTTTTCAATTGCCCAAAGTCCCAATTCCTCTGCCTCTCTCCCTTGTGCATATGCGAATTGCTGTGTGGTTGTGAATTTGTTTTTGATTTATATATGTCTTCCAATGTTCTTTCCTCCCCGTTTGTGTGAAGCCGTGTGTGGTGTAATGGCATCTAGGTTTTTACTTTGTTTTTGTGTATATTTTTCCAGCTGTGTGCATACACTATCCGGGCAGCAACGTTGACCCGCCTGCAGCAGGTCAGGTGCAGCAGCGACTTTTGCCGCTGCTATTGACGGGAAACAGGCTGCCGCGGCCATTGCAGGTGTAGCAGCAGCTGCTTCACCCGCTGCTGGCAGCAGCTACGGCGCACGCTGCTGTGACCCAACTCTAGCAGGTGCAGTAATCAGCTACGAAACTGCTTCACCGATAGCCGTGGGCTGCGTCGCGGAGATGGTAATTTGGCCCGACGGCGGTACCACACGAAGGGAGGTCTAGGGTTTTGCCAAAGTTTTGATCTGGTTTTAATTTTTGGCAGATTTCTATTTGATTTGGGGACAGGACCTTCTTTGCAATTTTAGAATTTTTGGGGGCTTGCTTGCAATTAACAAAGGATCACTTTGGAATTTTTAAGGATACTGACTTGTTATTTAATTTCTAAAATTTGAGGCCTTTTTCGTAATTTTAATTTTAGGGTCAATTTTAAAATATTAAATTTGAAGTTTTAAAAAATGGAATTTTTAAATTTGATCCACTATGTTTCAATTTCGACCTCAAATTAAAATTACATTTAAAATTAACGACTTTATATTTTTATTGCAATAATTATTTATTAAATGTCGTCGTTATTATTTGTCCATTTAAATTTCATTTCATGTATTGAAATTTATGTTTTCAATTTCGTCTCATAATCGCGCATGAATTTTTCTTTTCATCTATTAATGATTATGATTATGTTGCGTGATTATTTTAC